CGGGGCCAGTTCGCGGAGCGGGGCCCATCCGGGAAAAAAGTCTCCGGCTTCCGCGCGTGTTTGTTTGTCTTGCGGGGCGGGGAGCGCGGTGCTTGTCCGTGAGTCATCAGATTGGGCTGCAGGGGCTGCGTGGGTGTGAGTGTGAGAGAGGTGGGCCACAGAGACAGAGACGGAGACAGAAAAAGAGATACAGAGAAAGACAGAAACAGAGAGAGGGAGACTCGGAGACCTTCGTCTGCGAGAGACAGAGATAAAGCGACATGGAGAGACAAAGATGGAGAGACGCAGGCAAGGACGGGCAAGGCCGAGACAGAGACGGAGAGAGAAAGACAGAGAGAGAGGTCAAACAGAGGGACAGGGAGAAATGGAGCTGCCTGGGGGTCAGGGTTTGGGATTGGAAGTCCTTGCCCAAGTGTCTGTCTGGGCCAGCCAGGCCACTGGACTGGGCATGCCAGGTGGGGACTTGTCTACCCTTCAAACTGGAGCTTCCCAGTGGGTGGTGGCTTGGGGAAAAGTGTGGGTGGAGGAACAGGTGACCTGTTGGGGGGACAGTGTGTGCACGGGTGTCTGGGCAAGTGGGTGGATAGGGCGCAGTGGGCAGAAAGGTGGCTGATGGGAGGATGGACACGTGGGCCCGTCTGTGGCCAGCTGAGGGGGACAGGGACGATGACCAAGGCCAGCACCCCGTCCCCAGCACCCAGCTCTGCATGTCTGAGATGGTAGGAATGAGGCCACCTTGTTAACACCCACACCTGCTCATCATTTGCAGACACACCTTGTGCCCTGGGCCCAGGGAGGTGAAGGCAGCGAGCCTCCAAAGACTCAGAGCCAAGAAGCCTCATTAACAGATGAGGAAACAAAGACCCAAGAGTGGCAGTGACTTCCCTAAGGCCCCACACAGGACACATCCCAGGGCTCAGATCCCAGGGCTCCTGGCGGCTCAGTCCTACAGCCACGGCTGCAGGCGGCACCTTTAAATAGTAGGGTGAAGACAAGGTGACAAGTCTGTCCTGATGGACTGCTGGGGGCGTAACCGGTCTAGCCGGATGCCACCGCCAGGATGCCTTCCTGTGGCTCTGGGGATTCCCCCATCCCTCTTCCTGTTCCCAGGAGGGTCACACAGGGGCTGTGGCAGACACCCAAACTCCCAGACCCCAGGACTGAACTGGGAGAGGGCAACCCTATGGACCCCAAGCCCAGCCTAACCTATCTTCCCACACTCCGAGCCCTGAGGCTGGCACCTGGGGAACTTGCATGCATCACCTCCCAAGCCTTGGTTTCTCCTCTGGAAAATGGTCCAGGAGAGAGGGAAGGCTGCGAGGATGGAATGAGATAATCCACGACCTCCGTGGGCACTCAGAATAGCATCTCCACTTCCTGCCAGCTAGAAACTTCCTCTTCCCTTCCCAGATTATCCCTACCCCATTCCCCAGGAGGATAAGTCCCAGGGCCCTGTGGGATGGAAGGGGATCCACGCCTGGGAAGCCAGCTGGGCCTGGTACTTTTAACAACAATTTCATTGAGATATAATTCACATGCCACACAATTCACCCATGAAAGTGTGCAGTCAGTGCTTTCAGTACATCCAGAACTGTCAACTCTTACCTCTCCCTAGTTCCAGAACATTCCATCACCCCAGAGAAACCCTGTCCCCATCAGTAGTCACAGCCCATCCTCCTCCCCCAGCCCCTGACAAACAGGAACCCATTCTCTGTCTCTGGAGACTGACCTGTTCAGGACATTTCACATCCATGGAATCACACACTGTGTGTCCTTCTGTGTCTGCTTCTCTCACTGAGCATTGTGTTCTCAGGGTCCGTCCACGTGGTAGCGAGCATCAGGGCTTCTCTGCTGTTCATGGCTGAGTGATGCTCTGGTGTGTGGAGGGACATGTGCATTTATCCTTCATCCATCGATGGACACGTGGTTGTTCCTACCTTTTGGCTGTTGTGGGTCGTGCTGCTGTGGACGTGCGTGTGCAGTTTTTTTTGTGTAAACATGTGTTTTTATTTCTCTCATATGTACATCTAGGAGTGGAACTGCTGGCTCATACGGTTAGTCTATGGTTAGGTTTTTGAGGAGCTGCCAGACCGTTTCCCACAGCAGCGGAGCCATTTTACATCCCAGCAACCATGCACGAGGTCTCCAGTTCCTCCACCTCTTCACCAGCAGTTGTGACTGTCTGTCGTTTTGATTACAGCCATCCTAATGGGGTGAAGTGGTGTCTTCAAACCCACAGAGAAGTTGTAAGGAGAGCACAATGAACACCCTGTCCCTGGAGCCCCTGGTTCTACATATTATTTTTGACTTCTGCCCACTAGAGAAGGCATACACACACTGTAGCAGTCACACAATGGAATACTATGCAGCCATGATAAAGAACAATCCTGAAAACACACAAAAGGGATGAGTCTCAGACACAATGAGGAGAAGCAGTCGGATACCACAGAGGTCTGTCTAGGTGACATTCTGGGAAACCAAACCATGGTGTGAACTGTCAGATGGAGGTCACCCTCAGGGGCAGTGATGGGGGCAAGGGGGACTTTTGGGGACCAGGTATTCTTTGGAACACTGTAGTGTTCAGTCTGTGAAAATTGATTGAACTGTATTTTTGTTTTTTGAGTAAAAGTACATTTATTTAGATAGATGTACACGGGGGTACTGGTTAAATTACAGGTAGACACACACTCCATAGAGAGAGTGAGGGCTGTCTCAGGAGGCAGGAGAGAGACCCTGAACTGTATTTTTTGGGAACTGTATTCTTCGTTTGTTTGTGGGTAATTTAGGGTTATTTATTTATTTATTCATTCATTCATTTATTGAATGGAGGTACTGGAGATTGAACTCAGGACCCTGTGCATGCTAAGCATGCACTCTGCCACTGAGCTACACCCTCCCTCCTGGAACTGTATTCTTGATGTGTGCATTGTTCATGTTATACCTCAAAAAAAAAGTACACACCTGCAGTCTTTATGTAAGTGGATATTTGAGAGTCAGGGTCAGAGACGGTACTGTTGCACCCCTAAGAACATCGGACAAGTCTTCTGAAGGCAAGGCACTCTGTCACAGCCAAGCTGCAATCAAGTCCTCCATTGGTGCTCAAATGTCCCCTGTTGTCACCATGACATCCTTGAGTATCTTTCTTTCTCATCCCAACCCTGGGTAGGGCTCACGCAATGCACTCTGTTCGCCCTTTGTCGCTGTGATTGGTTGAATAAAGACCCTCAAAGATAGGTCCACATTCTGGTCCCTGGAACCTGTGAATTTCACCTTATTTGGAAAACAAATCTTGACAGCTGCAATTAAGTTAAGATTTTCAGGCGAGGAGATCGTCGTAGGGGGCCCTAAATGCAGTCACAAGTATCCTTATGAGAGACGTAGAAGGAGGTTTGACACAGACACAGAAGGAGACGCCACTGACGATGGAAGCAGAGCCTGGAGGGACGGGGCCACGAATCAAGGGACACCTGGAGCCCCCAGGAGCTGGAAGAGGCAGAAAGGAGCCTCCGGGAGCCCCCGGAGGGAGCATGGCCCTGACCACACCCTGATTTCAGCCCAGGGTAACTGATTCTGGATATCTCATCCCCAGAAATGTGAGACAATCAATTGCTGTTGTTTGAGGCACCAAGTTTCTGTCAACTTGTTACAGCAGCTCCAGGAATCAGGTCCCATGTCCTTCCATCTACAGATCCCTGCCTTTCTCCACATGTCTGAAATCTCACCCCATGTCCCACAACCTCAGCTCATCTGAGTGTCTCATGGTTTGATCTGGATGGAACGTTCTGGGTGAGAACCTGACATATCTGAACAGCTTCTGAGACAAGATGCTGGCCAGCCCCCTGCATCCTGATGCTGTGTCCCTCCAGTTAACATCAGTCTCCACCTGCCAGGTGTGTTACTCATATTTTCTTGCTTAAGTTTTACAAGGAAACTTGATGTCACTATCAGAAGTGTCACCAACCAGTGCCATCTGTTAACACATTGCCAGTAAACTGCAGGAAGAAACACAAAGAGAAGAGACCATGAGACAAACTCTTTGACTAGTAGAATCCCAGCCCAGGAGCTGAGGCAGGAGTTACACACCAGGGAGACCTCCCTGCTTGAGTAGGAACTCAAAGGAGAATGGCCTCCTCACCGCTCAGAGCCAGGATCCGGTGCTTGGGGAAGTGCAGGTTTAGGGCATCTGACGTCCTATCGAAGAGAAGAGGAAACTGAGGCATGAAGTCAGGCAAAAGAATTCAGAAGTCCTGGCTCCCAGCCTAGGTTCCAGGCTCTGCCAGACTGCAGGGGTACGAGGGGCTGTGTATAGGTCTTGGGGGGCCAGGCCCAGCTGATTCAGCACCCTTGGGGCCATGAAAGAGGGCAACCCTAGGTATGAGTCAGGTCTGCGGTTGTGGCCCCCCAGGGCATCTTGGGGTGGGTTGGGGCGGGTTTGGGAGGACAGACGCTGCCGTCTGCTGCAAACATTCTCAGCCGGTGGCATCACAGTGCACAGGCCCGCGTGGGCAGCTGTGTCTGGAATGTGCTGTCAGGAGGCGTCCAGACTCGGGAGTCTGGCCCTTCTAGAGCACATGTCTGGCCTCCACCCTGGGTCATGGGGAGACTGAAGTCTGAGCCTCTGTGGATGAGGGGCAGCCTGAGCCAAGGCCTCTGAGCCCCCTTCCAGCTTTGTCTCTGCCTCTTCTCCCAAAAAGGCTGCTGAAATCTCTCCAAGTATCCACTCCTGTTCCTGCCTCAGGGCCTTTGCACTTGTTGTGACTGCTGCTTGCAGCACAGTTGTGTTACATGTTCTTGTTCTCCCCCTTCACGTGCAGCTGACCCCAGAGTAGATGCTACCCCCTGGTGCAGGTAGGTGCAGCCCATGTCCTGGTTCTTGCCTTGTCACAGAAAGGATCCAGAGACAACATATGGAGGTTAAGAAAATAAAGTGAGGACTTATTGAAGGATGGATATTACACTCTCAAGGGGAGCGGGCAGGCTCAGGTGAGTGGCTGTCCTGAGTTTTTTTGGCAAGCTGGTTATACAGAGTGTAGAGAAGTGAATGGGCAGAATATTCATTGGGGAGGGAGGGGTTTGGGGTCGTATTCCCTGATTTTCACCCCAAACCCACCTTCCCTAAGGGAGAGGTGATTTTTATCTGTATTTAGTCTGGTTCGAAAGTGTCATGGTGTTGGTGCATGATGGGTACTTTTAATCTGCAAGGCTAATTTTATTGAAATGAGGGCATAATAAGCAAAAGTTTACATTCGGACATGGGAGATTCCTGCCTTTCCCCACCTTTCTTTGTCAGCCTCCAGGCTGCTCATCACCCAAAAAGTGTGACCACTTTTCAGCCCAGAGATTCCTGCTTTTCTTTCTCTGCCCAGGGACCCCTGGTGCTTACATGATATAGGGTTTCCTGTATTTGGCCTGTGCCTCTCCTTTCTGCCCAATTCCTTCCATTTTGCCTGTGTCCCCCTTTCTTTGCTCTTATCTAGCTCTCTCTGTTTTAACACCCTGACCTCAGCCTGACCACCTGAACGGTAAGGTGGCCGTGGCTTCCAGGTCTGATTCTAAAGCTCTGGTCCTGGGAAACTCCAGGCTCCAGGGGTTATTTCACTCCACTTGTCGGCAGCTCAGTTTAATAGGTTAGCCCGCTCTTCCTGCCCCGCTCTGCCCCTGGCCTTGGGAACTCGGAAACTAGTGGGTAAACTGAGGCCAGAGGGAGCGGATGAGAGAAATGTCCAGAGAACACGATGACCTACCTGACCTTTGGCCTTAGGGCTTGGACTCAGACGGATCTGTGCCTTCATTCCAGTCTCTTTGATACTCAGGCTGTGGGTCTTTGGACAACTTGACTGACCTCTCTGAATCCCAGCTTTCACCACAATAAAATGGAGATAGTAATAGTTCCTTCCCCAGTGAAGATCGCTGACTGGAGTCTTTAAATTGGAGAACGCTGGTCTACTTACTTGGCAACTATTCCTTCAACAACAACAACAAAATCCGGGTTTCCAGTCTTCCCAGAGATGGCTTAGCGTCCTCCTGCGTTGCCCAAGCAACTGCCCTATCCCGCCTCTCCTCGATAGGGAACAGCCAATCAGAGGGCTCCATCGGTGCATGCTCTCGCGCCTCCGGGGCCCGTTGACCCCTGGGAGTTGTGGTTCTAGCGATAAGCTCCACGCGCGCAGTCCCTTCGCGGCCGCCGTAGGCCGTAGAACTACAACTTCCGTCAGGCGCGGGCGGCGCAGGCGCGCTGG